AGGGACAGATGGGACACACGCTCGGGATCCTGCAGCTCCTCACTCTGCAGCAGCGTCTGCCCGGGGCTCCCCTGGATCACCACTGACTCCAGTCTGTCCCTGCTCTTCCACAGGGCCACCTTTGGCTGCTGCTCTCTGTAATCCCAGTGGCTGCAGCTCTTCCCCAGCCCGTGGGTTCGGAGCTCTCCATCCTCAGAACCATCTGGAGAAGATTCCTTCAGATGTGGAGAAGATTCCTTCAGCCTCTGTTCTGGCTGGGAGCTCCTGTCCGTGCCCTCCACGCACAGCCCGTAGGTCAGGGCCAGGCTGGAGCTGCCTGGGGCAGCAGCAATGCCCTGCTCAGCTTTCTGAGGAGTGTAGGCAGTGATGGCAGCTGGCATTTCCACCTGGCAGCGCTGAGGGGGCAGCTGCACTGCTGGGACATCCACCTGCTGCTGGTAGGGACAGGAGGGACGTGCTGGCTCCAGGTGTTGGCTCATCTGGGCCAGCTGCACTTCAGGGATGAAAGGGGAAGGTTTGGAGAAGCTGAGGGGCTTTATGATGTGCTCCACTGTCAGGGTGAGAGGCTGGAAGGATGGAATCCCTCTGAAGTCCTGGTGGAGAAGATAAAAGAGCAGAGTTATTACCAAGAGGCTGTGACCTTGAAGGTTTGCTGTAGTTACTGTAGCATTTTCTTTGGAGAAGTGTCAGTAAAAGCCACTAACAGCCACCAGGGATCTGCTCTGCTGACAAAAGAGCTCTGCTGCTTTTTTTTTTTTCTGCTGGAAAATCACCATTCCCAGGAATACAGACATTTCTCATTGTCTATTAACTGAGCAGCCTTGAAACATGAGGAAGAAAATCTGCTGCTTTCACTTTTGCAAGATTTGGCCTAAGCCCTGCAGCATGAAATAGCATGAAAATCCTTGAGCTCATTAATATGAAACCCAGTTCTTGCTGTGGGAGATGAGGGATAGGGGAGAATCCCAGGGTTTCAAGCTGGGGATTTAGGATGCCCCAGGTTTAACTGCCAAACCCAAGGGGCTCAGTTTGGGGCAGGTTCTGAGCACTTTAAAATCCCAGGAATCTGCAGTGATTGCCTCGAGCAAGCTGCTTAACCCTTTCAATGAAGGAGGGAGGGTTTGATTGGGTTCTGGGGAGAAATGTTTTACTCAGAGAGTGCTGAGGCCCTGGCACAGACCCTGCCCCTGCATCCCCAGCAGTGCCCAAGGCCAGGCTGGCACTGGGGCTGGGAACACCTGGGACAGTGACAGATGTGGATCCCATACAGGACATGGACTAAATGATGCTTCCAGGCCCAGGCAGGGCTGATTCTGTGATCTGCAGGCTGAGCTGCAGTGGCTGAGGGCACTCACCAGGGCCCTGGGCTGGGCACTGCGCTGTTTGATGTATTTGTAGCTCACATAAGCGGTGGCAGCAAAAACCAGCCCAGCACAGAAGGCCAAGGCCACCAGACAGTAGAGAATCCACGTCTTGTCTGGGGAAAGAACAAATGGAAAAAGAACTGGATTAGAAAAATGTCACAGTTAGCTAGGTGATGACACAGGTTTAGTCTCACAGAATTAATTTTTAAATGATTAAAACGCTCTCTGCTTAAAATCAATGCATGTTGTGTGTCCAATATCCCAGCTGGACCTTCCAGCTTTCAGCACAGTTAGCAGCCTCACCTGCCAGAGTTTTGACCCAAAACACCTGAGGTTTGCTCCTTCTCTGGAGCAGACAGATATAAACTGTCCCGTTGTATTCAGTGTCTGGGTCCAGGTTGGAAACTTCAAATTCTTTGTTGTGCTCATTCTTTGTCCACTGTTGAAAAGAAAGGTGAAATTGGTATTTGGGCAAGATGAAATTTTCTTCAATTCAGATTGCAAAATTCAGCATAAAATATTATTTACTAATGAGGTCTTACAGGGCTAGAATTATTCTGTATGTATGGAACTCTGCTTTTTTCTGAATCATATTTATATAAGTTTATTTTCCATTATTTCTGTATTTAATTCTGCATTTCAATTTCTTAAGACTTGAACTATTTTAGTCACCAAGGGTTTTACTTTTTGCTAATTATACAGTACTCTTAGGAAGTCCTTTGGATTTAGGAAGAAAGCCTCAAATTCCTGTTGTCCTGAGAGTTAGACTCCAAGACTTTCCCTTGTACATCAGAAATCTCCCCCATAACTGAGATCCTTTTCCATCTCATCTGAAATGGGATTCACAGCATCCCAGAGCCCGAGGCTGTGCTTTACCTGCTGCTGTGTCCTCTGGTTGAATATTATCAGGTGATAATCCACAGCCCCGAATTTGCTGTAGATGTCCTCCACGGTGAGCTGCTGCTGGTCCTCCCCGCGCAGGGGCGTCAGCGGGGGCCGGATCAGGAACCTGATGGAGCGGCTCTGGGGGACGTGTTCCACCTGGGGGGGCCCTATGATGGCTGGGAAGGCACAGCAGGCTCTGTCAGCGGTGTCACACACACCCAGACTCGCTGCAATGCCATTGCTGTTTGTACAGAATGGGCCTGAGCTGTGTGAGCGTGGCGCCAGTCAGGCCTCTGCAGACAGAGCTGGTTTGGGGTTCTTGTGCCCAGGAATTCTCATCCTGGGCTTTTCCAACTCCATGTTCCCTGTCCCTGTGCAGGACGTCCTCCTTCCTGTGTGTGTGAAACCCCACCACAGGTTACAGCTGCCCAAATCCCAGTTCCCATCCTACACCACATTTACAGGCCTTTGTGCCTGCACTGGTCTCTGTGACAGGCACACACTACACCCAGCACTGCAAAGGCCTTTAATCCAAGTTCTCACAGCTTTTCTGGTGCCAAGGTCTGAAGGCTCTTCACAGCCATTGGCTGCTGATGCCACCTTGAATTATTCCTGGTGATTTTTCAGTGGGAAGGTTTATCCACAGAGCCAATGAGGCCCCAAAGGCTGCGTTGTGTCTGCAGTAGGGCTCACTTTGGGGTTGGGACACCAACAATCCACTGGAATGGACGCTTATCCCAATGTTCCCATTTCACAGCTGCTGGAACTCCCTGTTTTCAGGCTGCCCATCATGTCCCTTACTCATTTCTCTGCTCCTGTCACCTGCAGCTCTCCCTCCCTTTCTCTCACCCCCGGCTCCCAGCTGAGACCCTGCCCATTCCTCATTCACCTCCAAGGCTTCACTCCCCCCCAGCAACACAGAGCATGGCAGGGCTGAGCAGTGGGGAAATGCAGCCCTGCAGGAGCAGGAGCAGGGGTTTGGGTTGGTACCTACTCTCCTTGCGGGGCTCGAAGCGCTCGGAGCGCACCCAGCTGGAGGAGCAGCCCCGCGCCCGCACCCGCCCGTAGAAATGCTCCGTGAAGTTCTCCGTCTCCCTGCTGAGGTTGCAGAAGAGCTGGGTGATGCTCTGGCACTCCTGCTTGCTGAGCCAGGATTTCTCCCCATACCTGAGGACAAAACAAGGATTTGGGGTCGTTTGGTTGGACAGGAATGGAGGAAAATGGAATAGAGAGAAGGAAGTTGCTGAAGGCAAGAATAGCTCAGAAATGGAGCAAAACAACCCAAGATGTAAAATATTTGCTTAAATGAGCATCATATCTCCCACTCTGAATAATCCTGAAATATGAAACAAAGCAACCCAAGATGTAAAATATTTGCTTAAATGAGCATCATCTCTCACTTTGAATAATCCTAAAATATGGAGCAAAGCAACACAAGATGTAAAATATTTGTTTAAATGAGCATCATATCTCCCACTCTGAATAATCCTAAAATATAGAGCAAAGCAACCGAAGATGCAAAGTATTTGCTTAAATGAGCATCATCTCCCACTCTGAATAATCCTAAAATATTCATAGGATTATATGAACCATTATATGAACCACAATACAGGAGAAGCAGCAAAATCAGCTTTTCTCTCTTGGCCCTTCTCTCTCTGAGACCCCCAAGAACAGCCCAAAAGAAGCAAACTTCACATACTGTTTGTACTGGACATCAAACACGGTGCCAGGGGGAATATCTGCCTCTGTTTCCCATGTCAGGATGTTCTCAAAGTTTGTGGAAGAGAATACTGCACGTTTCAGACATGATGATCTCTCTGTAGTCACAACGCCTGAAGGAGCAGAGAAACTGCTATTAAAAAGCATCTTCTGACATCTCAGCCCTCAGATGAAAATGGATCCTGGGGGATTTTGCTAAAGCTGGGCTGAAAAGAAGGAGCTTGAGCAGAACAAGGCTTCAAACTGTGTTCACATCACACTCTTGCAGACCACTGACTCATCCCAAAGAAATCAGGAATTTTTACAGAAAAGCTTCAAAAGCTGGAAAACTCAAATCAGAAATAGAATCCTTGAATTTCTAGCCAGGTTTCTTTAAGAGCCTTTACATGGGTGATAAAATAAGCCCAATAATCTGTTTCCAAGCCAGAATGAGGTCTGTGGATGTCTCTGCTTTCTGCCCCTGCTCAAGGAAGTGACATGCAGAGCTCAGTGTCACCTCCTGAAGATGTGGCTCCGTTCTGCTCTCGTGCTCCATGTTTTATTGGATGGAAAGTGCCTGTACAGAGTGACACCCAGGGTCTGGACTCTGGCCTGGGCGTGCCAGGGTGACAGCAAACAACTGAGCCCTGCTCCCTGCTTTCTGAGCCCTGCTGCTCTTCCTCTGGGGTCAGCAATGTCACCTGTCCCTGCAGACGTGTCCCTGGACAGCAGGACCCCACCATGGCCCTCCTGCAGCAAACTGCCTCTGAGCTGCTGCAGAAAAGCCCTCAAGGATTTTGTGTCTCTTATCATGAGAAAACACAGAGCAAAATTTTCCAAGGCTGATCCACAAGAGTTTCTAAGGTCAGGATTTATAAACTCTGAATTCAGATTATGGGCAGACCCTCAAAGGTGAATAATTTTTACATTATTCAGCTCTGGGTTTGTGGCACTGAACTCCTGGGGCATGTGAGGGCTTCAGCCTGCAGTGAACAATGTGAAAAAGTGAGCAAATGAAAATAGCACAGATGGGCAAACTGAGCCCTGGGAGGGGGCTGCCTTGGACAGGATCACACTGAACAGAGAATAAATCCCAGCTGGATCCTCGCTCCAGGCTTTGCCCCAAGGACCAGAGCTGAGTGTGAGCAGTTCAGTCTGCTGGCTGGATGGAGGAGGGCTGGGCAGAAGGCACAGATCCCCTCTCAGTGCTGTGTGTGGCATTTGGGCAGGGGAGTGGTGCAGAAATGAGCTGCTGCCTGCTCCAGATGTTCTCCTGACTTTATCTGCAGCCCCACATCTGCCTCTGCTCATGCCAGGCTCTCAGGAGCAGCAATGGGGTATGGAGGAGTGGGGTTCCCTGTCTGAGCACCCTGAAAACTGAGTCACAAATACCCCAGTCTTATCAGGAGTGGGAAATCTGTCTTCCCACATTTATCCATGCTGGAACACTTATGCAAAGCAGCATAACACAAGCACAGTCAAGTGTGGGCAGGGGAAAACCAGGATATTTCAGTGTGACAGTCCCTTGGGCTGAGGAGATGCCAGACACAGCAGATGAATGGCAGGGGCTGGAAAGAGCAGGTTTATCCTTCATTCAGCCAGCAGTGAGCTTGTCACATCTGGAGTAGGATTAAATGGCTTTTAGAGGGCAGAGCTACATTGGATATCAGGGAGAAATTGTTCCCTGGAAGTTCACAGGGTGCCCAGAGCAGCTGGGGCTGCCCCATCTCTGGCAGTGTCCCAGGCCAGGCTGGACAGGCTTGGGGCAGCCTGGGGCTGTGGAAGGTGTCCCTGCCATGGCAGGCTGGGATGGGATGAGCTTTAAGTCCCTTCCAACCCAACCACTCTCCGGTGACTCCCTCATTTTAAGCTTCCATTATTTGTTTGTACCTCCTTTAAAATCAGCACTGTTCTTGGATTCATTTGTGCTGAAGCCATGAGGAGACTGACCCAAAGCCCCCTGACACCAGTGAATCCTTCTCTGCTGTAGGATTTGGGTCCCAGCACAGTGACAAACCTTTGAAGTGAAGGAATCTTTCCCTCTCCCTACTAATCCCGAAAGTGCCGAGCGTACCAGCCACACATGGGAGTTACCACAAGGAGAGAGAACTCAGACAGCAGCTCATTCTTAGGTGATAATTCAGCAAACAGGAGTGAATAGCAGACTCCAGGGTCAAACAGAATCCCACAAGCAGCAACAGCAGAGCAGAGCTCAGGACTTACCCAGCACTGAAACTCCAGCCAGGACGATCAGAAATCCCTTCATGAATGACTCTGCAGGCTGGGCTGTGCGAGCAGGCAGCTGCTCCTGTGTGCAGGTGAATCACCTTTTGGCTGAATTCTGTCTTGCCAGGCCAGGTTGGATCTGTTGCTCAGTAACAGAGCACAGCAGAGCTGCTGTCCTGCCTTCCCTGGCTCTGCACAGAGCCCTGCGCATGTGTGACACTGCAGAGTGACAGCAGGAGTGCACACCTGGCTGTACAAAGGTGCACGAGCCAGAGGCTGAGAAAATCCCCAGCTCCTGAAAAAGAGCCAAATACCTTTATGCTGAGAGCTTCCTGCCTGAAAGCCCTCCCTGAGGTTCCTGGGGTTTGAGGTTTGCTTTTCTGGTTGAGTAACTTGAGCTTGTTACAACTCCAGACATTGAAACTTAGAGCTGTGCACCTGCTTGGTTCAATACCTATTTCCTCCAAAATTACTCCTGAATACTTTCTTACAGTGAAAGTCAGCCAGAGCACTGGGGTTTTTCACCTGATGTGGGCAGAAGGCAGAAGAGTGGTGCCCTTTCCACAGGAGGAGCCCCTGCTGTCCCACAGCTTTTTGCAGGGACTGTTGTACACCTGCAATGTTTATTTTTGTGGCTGTTTACAGTGTAAAGTTCTGTTACTGAATCCACGTGATAAGAGCTGGGAGTTTGTATGGACAGGAAGAAAGGGATACAGTCCCTTTCCCATAACGTGTGCAGCTTTTAGGGTGATGTTGTGTTTTCAACCAACAAACCCTGCGTGCTTCTGAATGCTGATTTCACTGCTCTGTCCTTGTGGCCAAACATGTGATGGAATTCACAAACCCCTTCTGCTTCCCTCCTCCTCTGTGGATTTCCTGATGCTGTTTCTGTTCCCTCCCTGCCTGGCTGTGGGAGGGCTCTGTGCTTCAGCCCTGCCGTGGTGCATCACTGGCATTTTGTCTCTCTCAGCTCACCTGGACAAAGGCAGAGGCCTCAGGTTTGTTAAAGCAGACACACCTATGCACCAGTGTCTAATTAAGCACAACTGTTTGTTAGGGTGTTTCCTGAACAGCCTGATAAAGGTATTTCTGTTTTCTCTTCCCTCACGCTCCTGCTGGGTGATGGGGCAGAGCTGGGGAGCCTTGGTGTGCACCTGAGCCTTCACTTCTGACAACAGAACTTCAAACTTTACCTCTGCCCCTATTTCTAGCAAGGTGTCACCTTTTGAATAGCACAGGAAACACCTCTCTGAAGCTTTGGGGACCTGAAGATGTCCAAAACTCGACTTTCAAGTTTGAAATTAGGATTTTATCTTCCAAAGTTTTGATTTCCTCACAGTGTATGGGGAGTGCAGCAAACCTGTGAGTGCTGGGCATGAACCCTCCGTGTGTGGACGTGGCCCTGGGGACAGGGTGGGTTCCCAGCTGGCCTCGATGATCCCCAGGGTGTTTTCCTCAGGAGATGATTCCCTGATGCTGGAGCAGCTGCTGTGGGAGGGGAGCACTGTGCTGTGGCCAGGACTGACCCTTTGCAGAGGAAAGCAGCTCCAAGCCCTGCTGAAATGAGGAGTTGGGTGCTGCCACCTCCCGTGCAGCTCCCCTGGCCCTCAGCCCCTGGACAAGGCAAGAGCTGATCCCAGGCTGCGTTTGCAGAGCTGGGACATGCCAAAAGCATTCTGTAGACGTTACTCAACTTCAGAGCTTCCTGTAAATCAAAGCCTGGGGGGTTTTCCTGGGTTGCACAAGAAATTGGGTGGTGATTATGTTTGGATCATCGCTGTCTTTCCAAATACAATGCAGGATGTACCTAAGGACACTGCAGAGGACAGAGGAACAGTCCAGCTGGTGAATCCTTTCCCCACCTCTCCTTTGGAATTCATTCAGGAGCTCAATGAGTAAATGTTGCTGCAGAGCAGTTCCCAGTCCCTCCTACCACCCCTCACTTCTCTTTTCCTGTTCTCAAAGGATTTCAGCTTTCATACCCTCCATCAACAGCCTCCCCTCATCTGAGCCCTCTCCCCGAGTGCAGGAATGGCTGGGGAGTGTTTCCCTCTGTCTTTTACTGCTCTGCTTTCCTGGGAGCCCTTTACACAAAGGCTCCCTTTCATACTGCAGCATAAAAAGCTTTTACAAGGACATGAAGTGATGGGACAAAGGTGACGGCTGTAAACTGCCAGAGGGGAGATCTAGATTAGATACTGGACTGAAATCCTTCCCTGGGAGGGTGGGGAGGCCCTGGCACAGGTGCCCAGAGCAGCTGGGGCTGCCCCAGGATCCCTGGCAGTGCCAGGGACAGGCTTGGAGCCACCTGGGACAATGGGAGGTGACCCTGCCATGGCAGGGGTGCACTGGGATGAACTTCAGCATCCCTTCCCACCAAACCATTCTGGGATTCTTTGTTCAGTAGTGACCTGGCTGGGAATTTCAGAATTCCACTCCAGCCCAGGATGGGGTCCTGTTTTAAAGGTAATTATTTTTCAGGATGAGCTGCAGTCCCCCTTTGTAGCTATGGAAAACAAAACCACATACACATGGAGATTTATATAAAAATATTATTGCTCTCAGACAGTCTGCACAGCAGGAAGAATTTCAACTTCAATAAATATAAAATAAAAAATAAATAAACAAACATGCTGCACACTTTGGCTTCAGTTCCCTCTGCTGGAACACAGAAGGTGCTTTCTGCAGGATGAGGTGGAGAACTCTTCATGCCACAAAAACCAGATCCTGCTGAATGTCTCTGCAAGGAACTTCCAGTCAAGCTCTGGACTTACAGCGAAGCAAAGGTGACACAAAACAGTTCAAAATGTGCTCCAGATGCACGTGCAGGCAAAACACTGCATTTTTCAGGCACAACACTGCATTTTCAGGCCCTTGTTCTGGAGTCTGAGGTGATCCCCAGGCAGTGCCTGTTTGCTGAGTGCTCCCTCAGAGATGTCCCTGCCTCCCCACCCCTGACAGTGACAGCACAGAGGTGACTTCGCAATAAAAATGCACTTTTGTGTCCCTAAAGCCATTGCCTGGATAGGCCAGGCATTGGTTGTTGTCCTTGTCCAAGGATCCTTGCTTGGACATCTGGAGCTCCCAGGATTTCCAGGCACTGCCCAGACCTGCTGGGCACTTCAGATCCTTCCCAAGTAATGGGAGTGCTCGTAGCCTGGGAATTGCAGCTTTGGATCACATTTTCCCTCTGTAATTGAAGTCCCAAAGGTGTCACTGAGCACGGTGGGCTCGGGAGGGGTCCCCTCTGTGAAGCTGTCACTGCCACAGTCACTGGCAATGCCTTCATCCTCTGCCAGCTGCAGTGTCCACAGGGGGATGAGCAGCTGCCTGCTGGGATCCTCCTGCAGCTGCAGGTCAGGGACGGATTTCTGGTAACCCCTGCAGGAATGGGGAACCTTCCTGGGGTTCAGCTCGTGGGGTTCAGCACCAATCCCCCCCAGCAGGGGCTGCAGGGGGCTCATTGCCAGCCTCTCATGCCCGTGTCCATGGCCCTGCTCTGGGGCACCTGGGAACGTCACATCAGTGAGGGAGATCCTGTCCGAGGAGGAGCAGAGGTACAGGGAGGGCTCCCCGTGTGCCTGGGACCCCGAGGTGTCCCTCTCACCCTTCCTCTCTGCAAGGAGGGTGAAACCCAGGGCTCTGAGGTCCAGCACAGATGCCACAGAGGGATCTCCAGACCCTGAATCCAGGATTTCCCCCCGAGCTGCTGGGGCTGCCTGAGAGCTGAGACCTCTCCTTGGATACCGAGGCATTTCACGGTATGGGATCAAAGTGCTGCTGCCTTCCTCCTCCTCATCCTCTGACCACGATGATGACAGTGATGATGATGATGGGAAAGAAGCCCTCCATGGCAGCTGGTGTCCTCCTGAAGCTCTGTTTGTCCTCCTTTGAGGCATTGGCATCTCTGAGCAGCTCAGATCATCACTGCACAATTCCTTTTCACCAAGCTCCGGGTGGAAGGTTGGTCCAGCAGCTTTAAATTGAGAGAAATCCTGTCAGGGAGAAGGAATCAAACAGTGAGCCTGTGATGCTTCCAAAAGAAAAATCTGGATGTCAGAAAGGTTATTTCAAAAATGGGAATTACAAATGTAAAACTGAGGAGTGCAGAACCCCCCACTCCTCCCCAGTGACCCCCTGAAAACCAGCAGGACTCTGGGTCAGGAGGGGATTTGAGAATTTGGGCCATACCAGAACCTGAGGCATCTTCCTTTGCTTGGCCTCCTGCTTCACCAGGCAGCAGATGAAGGGACTGGCCACAAAGATGGGGAGGACAAACAGAGGGATCACAACCAGAAGTGGGAACTTCCACTGTGCTGATGAAAAAGACAGAAATAATCTCTTGTGAGTGGAATTTTTAGAGGAATTATGGGCTCTACACTGATATACAATATTCAGAGTGTTCAGAAAACATTTCAGGCTTTTTTAAATGAAACTATTTCTACAGAAAGCAGGAACCACTCACCAGAAAATCCAACCAGTCCCTTTAACAGGAAGCTTTGTTTTTGTGGTGAAAACCTGATTTTAGTGGAAATCTTTGCCTTGCCCTCATCCCACTGGATGTCTCCCACATCCTCTCTGGAGAAGGGCCATACCTTTGTGGTTTAACAGCACACACACGGGCTGGGAGAATTCACTGTGCTTCAGGTTGATGCTTTCATAGAGAGCCCTGGCACTGAAGCAGTAGTTGCCTCTGAGGGCAGTGGTGTTGATGGTCACTGTGTCCTTCCTGAAGTAACCCTCGTATTTCTTCTGCTGAGAGACAGAGCAGAGGGTTGGAGAGGTGATTCTTGCATTATTGGGGTGGTGTTCCTGTACCACCTTAGCCCATGGATCCCTTGTGTGACATCTCCCCAGGGCTGATGGATCCAGGTGGGGATTGCAGCAGTGCTGGGAATGCTGCCAGTGGCACCTGCACTGGTTGTTTTAAACCTCAGCCCTTCAGACTGCCTGGAGTGTAAACTCCCCTTCCTGATAAAAACAGGGAACTACCAAAAAAAATAAGTGTTGGGAATTTAGCTGCTAAGGACTGGAAAAGTACAAAATTGCGGCTTATTCCAAGTCCTGCACCTGCACAGATAGCAGTGTCCTTGGGCCTAGCTGTGGTATAATAACAAACAGTGAAAGAGGCATGAGAAAAGAGAGTGTAACCCCTAAGGAATGAGGATGAGTTAATGCTATAGTTTAACCAATAGATTGCTTGGCTTACAGAATATTCATAAGCTTATTATTTGCTGTATAAGTGTTTGATACTTTCTTCAATAAACTGGACCAGAAAGACCTGAGGGACCGGGACCGGACCGGACCGGACCTGAAAGGCCTGTGATGAACCAACTGGTGTCCTGGTCCCCTTCCGTGACATAATGGTGACCCCGACGTGATTCGAACACGCAGCCTTCTGATCTGGAGTCAGAAATAAGGATGCATCACACACTTCTACTTTTTGCCTCTGGCTTTGGTTTGGCTCTGGTTTGGCTGGTTCATTTCCTCCAGGCCCTGGATCAGTCCCTCTCTCTCTGCCCAGAACTTTGAAGCTCTTTCAGTTCCTCCATTTCATCTAAAAAGATCCGCTGGTACCGACCTTGTCTTCAGATCCCGCTTCCCAGAGGTTCAGGTCATACTTCCAGGTGAGGTTCTCCACACAGGTGGGCAGAGGGAAGGAGGCACTGACGTGGATGGAATTGTCGCTGACCTTCAGGGTGAGCACGGGGGGAGCCAGTTCCACTGCAATGGAGGGAGCAGCTCTGAGAATGGGGCTGGCTTGGCTCTTACCTTCAGCAGGGACGGCTGCTCCTCACTTCCAGCTGTTATCTTGTGATAAGAGGGAGGCAAAGGACACCCCTGTATCTAAAACACCCCAGAGAGCCACTGGGACAGTGGCCACAGCCACAGAGGACACCTCTGTAACTAAAACACCCTTGGAGCCACTTTGCTCAGCTGATGAACAAGTTCTGACACTTGCTACAAAATCATCCTCAAACGATCCCAGCCTGTCACTGCTCCTGCTCACTCAGGTCTCTGCCATCCATAAAGCCCCTGGACCCCTGTGGGGTGTGGTCTGTGTGTCAGTGTGTCTGTCCTTCCATCCAGGCTGTCACCTGGCAGGCACTCACCGTCTGAGTAGTAATCCTTGAACTGGGATTTCACCCAGGGCGACTGGGACCGGCCCCAAACCGCCTTCACCCGAGCCCGCACCTTGACGTAGAGGTTGGAGAGGGCACAAGTCAGATTGCAGAAGGACCTGGGGATGTTCCTGCAGTGAGGAACCTTCCTCCATTTGTCCAGGCGATCCTGGCTGGAAGGAACAACCACACCAAAATATGGAACACGTTCTGCTGGGATTTACAGAGCAAGAGAAGGAAGGGTTTGGGAGGGTGGGAGCAAGTGGGACTCAGAGTTTGGATCATGTTTTGTTTTGGTGGGAGGTCACTGATGATTAAGACACTCATTAAGCAGGAGAGATGCCCAGTGTCTGTGCCACCCCTTTGATCAGACATGCTTTGGAGCTCTTACCTTTCATACCTCACAGTGTAGGTCACATCTGGGGGAGAGCCTTCCCCTGGAGCCCAGGTCAAAATCATGGCAAAATCCCTGGACAGCAGGGTCACATTTTGAGGAGGGAGAAGCTGAACATGACCTGGTCAAAAGGGAAATTATGTGAATGATTCAAAAGTATCTTTGGGACAGGAAGTGCCACTGGGTTCCCACTGAGGTGGTGTCAATATCTGAGGCTGAGCCTTTCATTAAGGGCTGGAAATTGGTTCTGGCAGCAGGTGTGATGCAATGTTTTCCTTGTCTCTCATAAAGCATCTTCATCTCAACAGCTTTTTGAACTAGGACTCAGTTTGTATGAACAATCTGGTTTATGATTTCCAATTGCTTTCCCTGTGCTCTCACTGCATTTCACTGATTTCCAACCCATAAACTCTGCCTGACTCCCTGGACAGGGCAGACACGGCTGTCCCACACTTTTCATTCAATCCCAGTCCTCCAAGGGCAGATCCCACCAGGAATTCAGAGCTGCAGGTTTGTCCTGTGTATTTTCCTGCCCCTCTTTTTTCCAGTAGATCACCCTCAGCAAGACACCTCCCACAGACAGATTTTAAACTGTCGCCTCTTTACCATGGAATATTCCGCTCTGTGTGAATCATTTCCATTTAAACTGATCAAAACTTCTCTCTCCTCCTACCAACAAAGCCATATAATGAAAAGTAACCCTCAGGTGTTCACATACCTCGAGCCTGCTGCAGGACACACAGAGCCATCAGGGCTCCCACTCTCCAGCCACACAGGACAAAGCAGAACTTCCCATTTGACACAAATGCTTTTCCTTCATCCATTCTCTGGTGTTTCCTGTGTGAATTGCAGAGGATTGAGGAGCCCAGGAGTGCACACATGCGCCCTGCCTCTCTTCCTGGTACAGCCCTGCACGTGTGCTGGGAGTGGAGCAGGTGTGGGAGGATTTTGGGGGACAGCACAGTGGAACTTGCAGCACTGCACCCTCCAGTGAGCCCTGGCACAGGGGAAGAGCTGTGAGACACCTCAGTGAGACTCCTCAGTGAAACCCTGACCTTTGGCACTTACCTGCGTGGCTGTGAAATATTAATAGCATTTAAATAAAGTTTCAGTGCAGGAGAGAGCTATTAATAACCTAGCAACAATAACAACAGTGGGATGGGAGACTCTGCTGGCCTGCTGTTTACAGGAGATCAAAGAGTTGCTCCTGGTTTATGTTAGCCCAGTGTTTTTTGGGAGTTAGGGAATTACTGCACTTTACAGCTGGGGGGGTAAAGTGCAGAGATAGGACAGGGATCTGCCCCCTCCCGTGTGGGCACTGCCATGGATCTCTGCCATGCTGCCAGGTGCCCAGGTGTGTGCTTGGAATGGCTGTGCCACTGCAGGAAAGGGGGAAATCCCTGGAGCAGGGATTGTTTGGCACCTCAGCTCTCCTGCCTTCCACCGCAGGCACCCAGGCCTGAGCCACCAGAGCAGGAATGGATCAGAGAATTCACTTTACAGGAGTTACAGCAGCTTGGACAAAGGGATTTCCCCGGGTCTTCCCCAGGTGGAAAACTCTCCCAGCCCAGCAGACGGCCCTTGGCAACCCTCTGAACCCTTGGACCTGGGAGTGGCAGCTTCTGGGTACAAAGTCACCATTTCCTCCCAAAATCTCCGTTTCCTCTCACCGCGGGTTTCTGTTTCCGTGGCTGTTTTGCTGCCTCTGTTTAATTTCATTTAATTTCATTTTTATGGACTTTCTTGTGGAAAGAAGAATTGTAATCCTTTCTAAGGAAAACAGCAGAGTGAAGGGTCTGGAGGGTCCATCCCCCTTCAGCACCCGAACTGCAGAGCCACAGCCAAGGCTCTTGTGCTTCCCCATCAGCCCTGGCAGGAGCGGGAGCGGTTCCAGGAACACTCACTGGGCTCTGCCTCAGAGCCCTCGGGCAGCTCCTCCGCGAGGTGACCGGCATTTGAGTGAGCGTTCACAAGAGGGGAATCTTATCATCATCATCGTCATCATTGTCATCATCATCATCACATCATTATCATCACCATCGCATCACCATGGTCACCATCCTGTCCTGTGGGACACTCGCGCTGGGCTCTGCGCTCCGCCAGGGGCTGTCCCGGGAGGGCTGAGGTGTCGCTGTCCCCTCCCTGTGCCGCTGTCCCTCCCTGTACCGCTGTCCCCTCCCTGTACCGCTGTCCCCTCCCTGTACCGCTGTCCCCACCTTGTGCCGCTGTCCCCACCCTGTGTCGCTGTCCCCACCTTGTGTCGCTGTCCCCACCCGCGCTGGCGTGGCCGATGCCACAAGGTGTCGCTGCCTGGCAAACAAAACGCGCTTTTCTCCAAGCCACAGAGGCTGAAAACTTCGGGAACCGCAGAAAACCCCCGGAGTGATCCCGGAGCATCCTGGCACGGCCCAGGGGGCACAGCACACCCAGGGTTCTGCTCTGCTGCCCCTCCAGCCTCTGCCTCTGGCTGGGGTGCCAGGAAGGGGCCGGATCGGGTGCTGGCAGGAGCAGGACTGTGACCTGTGTGTGTGTGTGACAGGAGCACACAGGGCTGTACCCGCAGTGCTCTGGGACCCTGCTGTGGATGGAGCCTCGTGGTGCCTTGCAGGGATGGTGCTGCTGCAGAGGACTGCTAACAGCCTTTATCCTTGGGTAAATCACCCAGCTGTGTCTGTGTTCTCCCACTGGTGTGCTCCTGTGGAGCATCAATATTCAAACATTATCATCCAGGAACCAGCTGGACACAGTCCTGAGCAATGGGCTTCAGCATGACCCTGCTTGGCCCCACTTTGCACCCTGAGTCACTGTGCGGTGCTGTGCAATGCTTTGGGATGGTTTGGCTCTCATTCATGGCACAGTGTCACACCCACCCCTCGCTCTGTGACTGCCAGCATCCCCAGGGGACTCCCCCATTTTCCACTGCTCCCTTTGCGTGCAGCAATGATTCAGCACAGGAGGGCAAACCCTGCAACCCTCCCTGAGTCAGGGATGGGTGCCTGCCCTCCTGGGGAAGGGCACTGCAGGAAATCCAGTGTGAGGAAGGCACACTGATTGGGTTTTGTGAAACCTTTGGAAGCAACAGGAGGTACCAAGTGCTGCAATGTCACCCCAGCTCCTTCCCTGTGCTCTGAGGAGCTGCTCTGGCAGAGCTGTGTGTGCTCCAGGCTGGGAGCTGAGCACAGACACTGAGTCCAGGGAGAAAAAAACAGCTTAAACCTTGTACCAGGGCACTGCTGGTACAGATAGCACCATGGGAGAGCAAACCTCTGATCCATAAGTGCAGCAGGTGAATGAGGATGAGGAAACATCCTTTAGCCCCAAAATGAAACAAAAAGACATATTCTGAGACTGAGAGTGAGACCTCACTCAGCTCCAAAGTTTTCTCTTGTGGGAGAACATACTGAACATACATTAGGGGAAGAGCGGAAAGTTTCAAACAACACAAAGTCCCTGGATTTCCCCCCTGTCCCAAGAGGGCACCCAGAGGACACCTCTGGCAGTTCTGTGCCCAGCTGTCCCTTCCTTCCCCGGGCTGCTGGGGCTCTGTGGGATGAGCTGTGCATCCAAGGCATCGGAGCCATCCAGGAACGGAAACAGCCCCGCCCTGGCAGGAGGGGAAGCAACACACCAAAATAAGGCCCTGCCTGTCCTCACTTCTGGCACTTTCTCCAGGCCTCTCCATCTTATGTTAATAAACTGTCAGACACTTAATTGCCTCATCCACCAAAAGGAACATTTCACAGGTAATTTTTGTATATTCTCCAACTCCAACAGCCATGACCTCTAAATAAAATGAAATTTTAAAACATCATGTTTTTACAAGATGTGGATTTAAAACCCCCCAGTGGCAGCCATAATACACAAACCTCTGCACTATATTTGTTTCTTTTTTACTGCTTTTCAGACAATGTGGATTTTTAAGCCAGCAATCAGCTGTTATGGGTTGTCTGTGCTGAGAACAAAGCCCAGCTTTACTCAGGGCTCTCTGCTTCCCTCAGCACATCCTGCCCGAGGCTGCAGCAGGGTCACCTGGGGATGTCACAGCTTTCCGAGGGAGCAGAGATTGGAGCTGTCACAGCTCAGTGCTCAGTCCCAGCCAGGGCTGTGCTGATCCTCCCTCCCTGCCTGGCACTGCCACCTCCAGCAGCTCCAGCTGCCCCATCCTGGCTGCAGGGAACCTCAGCCTTCTCTGCCCCTGGGGAAGCTTCGTTGGAGGCTTAGTTCTGACTTTGAATGTGGATTTTTTTTCCCTCTTCCTGCTCAGGACCAGCCCTGACACACAGGCTGCTGATGGTTGGATTTCAGTGGAATTATTCGAATTATTCTGGAAGGTTCACAGAGCAAACATGGGGGAAATTATGGAATTAGCAAAGGATAAAATGCTACTGAGAATTAAAAGGTTAAAGAAATCTGCAGAGCTGGGGGATGCCAGATGGTAAAACAAAATAGAGCAGTGTCCCCTTGACCCAGACAGGCATTTGGGCAGCCTGTCACCAGGAGGAAGGGAAGAGAATGGGCTTGGTTTGTTTTTAAATTGAGTCTGAAAAGACTTAAAATGAAAAGCAAAAGCAAAAACAACCCCATAAATTTTGTTCCCCATACAAATGCCATGAATCATTTCATCTCCTTTATTTTTTCTTCCGGGGAAGGGATTTTACAGGAACCTGGGGCTTTGCCTGGGCACAGGAACTGGAGCTGGCCATGATTAAAGAGTCTGTACATTTAACAGTTCCTAAAGGTGAGGAGAATACAGGGAATGCTCCAAGGACCCCTGGACCCTGTAGGTCAGGATTTATGGGATGATATTTGGGCCACATTTATGGGATGCTGGCACCCCTGGCAGCAGCAGCTCCTGGTGCTGCAGCTCTGAGCTGGCTCCAGTTTACCTTGGCTGGGACCTGCAGCTTTTTGGGTGCAATCTGAGGTGTGCAAACACGGAATCTGGAATCCTGGAGGTGTCTGTGGGACATTGGAGGCACAACTCTTGAGCAATGGCAGCTCCTCTGGAAGTTCAGGGGTTCAGGGGCACAGGGTCTCTGCCAATGAGCTGAATCCTTGTCTATCACTAAACAGAAAAGTTAAATAGGTCTCACTTAAAGTCCAGACTGCAGCAAAGGAGACAAGTTTGGGTCCTGCCTTGCTCACAGACAGATGTGTGGATGAGGCAGCCCCAGCTGATCACCTGCTTTGGGCTGCTTCTCTCTCTTCCCCTGAAACCTGTCCCTT